TTCACATTAAAACTTATTTATTCCAAGAAAATATAGTTTCAAATAAGACTGTGTCTGAGCACCCATAAACATCATTAAGATCATCAAAGACTACTAAGGTAAGTGTTCCAATAGTGCTGAAGCTTATCAAAGATTGTTACTTTCTATATACAGTAATCAGTTTTTCAACACTTTTCAAATGGAGTAATAGAGTCTTGCACTCTCATTCCAATTCTTCAAAAAGTAGTCAGTAAATATCATTAACCTAATTTGACAGGTGAAATATTTGAGGCTTATAGAGATTAAGCACTTTGTAGAACCCATCTCTCTGATATCAGGTACCATGCTCTTGCCATGAGACACCTCCTTAGTGAGTGAGACTAGTTATGAGGACTAAAACAAAATTTAAACACACTTCACACACACAAAAGATGTAAATATATATATATATTAAATGACAACCCATCAGCTGATTAGTCCAAGCACAAACATGAAGAAGCCTTCCTGGCATCACTTGCTATGAATAATAGAAATCCCTGTGGCTTCTTTAAAAGGAAAATTAGAGATCATTCTTGTGAACATTTGTGCATGGCCAAATGTTTCTCTGTATAATATTGATCACACTGTCAATTTATCCTGTCTCCTAGGCTTATACAGCCATAAAAGTAAAGTCCTGTGAATGTCCCTAACAGTGGGGTAGATATATTAATATATGTTCTTCCAGTTAATTCTCATAACAGTATGTGAGGTGAATAATATTATTATCATTTGATGGATGATAAAATTAAGACATAAGGTGCCAAGAAATACACCCCAGGTAAAAGAAGTTATAGGTGGAAAAATTGGGATTCTCATCTGGTCTTTCTGATTCTCAAACTAACACACTTAACTACTATGATCATGGTTTTTAACACTTTGCTGAAGATTCTGGTTAGGGTCACATGCTTTGGAAGGGGACTGAAAAGGAATGAATAGTGCTGAGGGTGAGGCTAAGCAAAAACAGCCCTTCAATGAATGAAATACCACATTTTTCTAAATATTTAGGGGTTTCAATACATCATTACATGTGTGTCTGTCTGCTGACAAAGTTGCTTCATATAAATTTGTCTCTGAAGTAGTATTAAAGTAAGTATAATTATGGTCATATCAAAGGGAAATTACCAGTATAACATTGTTTATTATACCAATCTAAAGCAGGAGTTAAGAATTTGTAGGGATAAAATTAATAAGCATAATCTGAAACTTAATATTGGTTCCACCCTTGATTATCTGCTCAATCTTGGGAGGAAACTTAATTTCTCTGTGCTTCTATTTCTTAATATGTAAAATAAGTATAAAAAGACAGTAGTAACTAATACATAGGTTTTCAGTAGTAACTAATACAAAATCCTTATTTTCAGAGGATTAAATAAGCAAATGTCTGTAAAAGCACTTTCAACATGCTGTGTTCAGTGAGTTTTAGTTAATATTATCACTATTATTATAACTATTAACATTAGTCACTAAGATTGTGCCCTCATCTGTAAAATTGATAAAATGAGATGTGTGCAAAGCACATTCTACAATGTCATGTTCATAGCAATTAATTATTAAAAGGTATACATTATTAGCTATTACAAAGTTAGTAGAACTTAGACAATAGATTATAAATTATTTTACAGTTCTTACATTCTTTATATTTTCATATAAATGCACTGCTATTCTTATGTCGACTACTCTAAATAATCTGCTAGCTAATTTCCCTTATCTGGCTTCCAGTTCCTTACTGAATCTCAGCTCTCCTCATAAAAAAACAAACACATACACAAAGACCTTCACTAAAGAAATATCCCAAGAATTCCCTTCTTCAGAGTCCTCTTTATCATTTTTTTAAAAAAAGAGAGAAAGAAAGAAAAAAAATAAATAAAAGAATGAAAGAGAGGAAGAAAGAGGAACAGAAAGAGGGAGAGAGAACAGGAGTGTTGCTTTATTGCCCAGGTTAGAATGCAGTCTAAAAATGGGTAGTGAAAACCTCTTTTATGCCAATAATTGTGCTTAACAATGGAGACAGGAAGTAATAGGGGAGGAAAATAAGAAAAAAGCAGTCAAATATTTCATTTAAACCTGTGAAATGCTATGCAATTACTGAGGAGTGATTTACTACCAATTATGTAGTCACTTTTAGAGTACGGTGATGTGGTACTGATAAGAATGTATGTTTTGTGGATTTTGGGTGGAGAGTTCTATAAATGTTTATTAAGTTTACTTGTTCTGGGTCTGAGTTCAAGTCCTGGGTATCCTTGTTAATTTTCTGTCTCATTGATCTGTCTAATATTGACAATGTGATGTTAAGGTCTCCCACTATTATTGTGTGGGAGTCTAAGTCTCTTTATAAGTCATTAAGAACTTTTATGAATCTGGGTGCTCCTGTATTGGGTGTGTATATATTTAGGATCATTAGCTCTTCTTGTTGCATTGATCCTTTTACCATTATGTAATGTCCTTCTTTGCCTCTTTTGATCTTTGTTGCTTTAAAGGCTTTTATCAGAGGTGAGAATTGCAACTCCTGCTTTTTATTTATTTATTTATTTATTTATTTTTGCTTTCCATTTGGTTGGTAAATCTTCCTCCATCCCTTTGTTTTGAGTCTTTGTGTATCCCTGCATGTGAGACGGATCTGAATGCAGCCTACTGATGGGTTTTGGCTTTTTATCCAATTTGCCTGTCTGTGTCTTTTGATTGGGGGATTTAGTTTATTTAAATTTAGGATTAATAATAATATATGTGAGTTTAATACTGCCAGTTGATGCTAGCTGGCTGTTTTGCCCATTAGTTGATGTAAATTCTTCATTATGTTGATGCTCTTTACTTTTTGGTATATTTTTGGAAAGGCTGATACTGGTTATTCCTTTCTATGTGTAGTGCTTCTTTCAGAAGCTCTTGTTAAGCAGGCCTGGTGGTGATGAAATCTCTAAGTACTTGCTTGTTCACAAAAGATTTTATTTTTCCTTCACTTGTGAAGCTTAGTTTGGCTGGATATGAAATTCTGGGTTGAAAGTTCTTTTCTTTAAGGATGTTGAATATTGGCTCTCACTCTCTTCTGGCTTGTAGGGTTTCTGCTGAAAGATCTGCTGTGAGTCTGATGGGCTTCCCTCTAAGGGTAACCTGACATTTCTCTCTGGCTGCCCTTAGCATTTTCTCCTTCATTTCAACCCTGGTGAATCTGATGATTATGTGCCTTGGGGTTGCTCTTCTTGAGGAATATCTTTGTGGTGTTGTCTGTATTACCTGGAGTTGAATATTGTCCTGCCTTGCTAGGTCAGGAAAGTTTTCCTGAATAATATCCTGAAGAGTATTTTCCAGCTTGGATTCATTCTCTTCATCACATTCAGGTACACCTATCAAATGTAGATTAGGTCTTTTCACATAGTCCCATATTTCTTGGGGACTTTGCTCATTCCTTTTTATCTTTTTTTCTCTATTCTTGTCTTCTCGTTTTATTTCATTGAATTGGTCTTCAACCTCTGATATCCTTTCTTCTGCTTGATCAATTTGACTATTAAAACTTGTGCATACTTCGTGAAGTTCTTGTATTGTTTCTCAGCTCCATTAATTTATTTATATTCCTCTCTAAATTGTCTATTCTCATTAGCATTTCGCCAAACCTTTTTTCAAGGTTCTTAGTCTCTTTGCATTGGGTTAGAACATGTTCTTTTAGCTAACAGAAGTTTCTTATTATCCACCTTCTGAAGCCTGATTCCAACAATTCATCACACTCATTCTCCATCAGGCCTTGTTCCCTTTCTGATGAGGAGCTACAATCCCCTGAAGGAGGAGAGGCATTCTGATTTTGGATGTTTTCAGCCTTTTTGTGCTGGTTTCTTCCCATCTTTGTGGATTTATCCACCTGTTGTCTTTGTAATTGTTGACATTCAGATTGGGTCTGAGTGGACATCCAGTTTGTTGGTGGTGATGTTATTTCTGTTTCTTTGTTTTCCTTCAGTGGACGCCCCTCCCCCACAGAGCTGGACCTTCCCGGGTTCAACTGTGCTTGCTGTGAAACTCAACCATCAGCGTTTCCAATTGCTGTTTTCTTTGGGGGGTGGGACCAGCTGAGCCCAATCACCTGGCTCCCTGCCTCGGAGCCCCCTTTTTTTCTTTTCCTAATTGAACGGTCGATTCTCTCCCAGGTGCCCCAGTCACCCATCAAAAAGGCACCACGATCTATGCAATTTCCCATGAGGCGACTGCACCAGCTGAAACAGTGGCGCTGAGATTCGTGGCACTTTTCTGCCCGGGAATCTCCCAGTCTGGCTCCTGGCTTCAGTCCCCTTCCCAATCAGCTGAATGGATGACTCTGCCTTCTCAGAGCTCCAAACACCAACTAAAAGGGCACCCAGTCCCGCATACTCTGCACTGAGAACCACTGCGCCAGGACGCCAGCAAAACAATTGTGCAAGCCAAAAGGGTCGCTCTGGCTACCCGTGGGGTTCCTCTGCTGGAAATCTCCTGGTCCATAAGCAACAAAAATTCATCTGGAAGTCTGGCGTCCACTCTCTCCCTGTGCCTTCACTGGGAGTTGCAACCCTGAGCTGCTGCTAGAAGGCTATCTTGGGTCTCTCTCCCTCTTTATCCTCTTTATCACTCATATTGTGCATAACATTTCACAGTTCAGTATTTTCCTTAAAAAAGCAAATTTTGAGCTTTGCATTCATGTGCCTTGCATTCATGTGCCATAAGCAATGAGGCTTAGTTGCCATTACATATGCAATCATTCAACATTCAGTCATCTCAGATGATCAAGTGTTCACAGCTGGTCTCTTGCCTATGTAGTCACAAAAGTTTCTCATGTCAATACTCTTAGCACAGTCTTCACCAGGGAGGCAATCTGAGTAAACTTACAAAATTCAAAACTATTTTCCTATATCAGAAAAAAATCCTCAAATCACAACCCAATAGAATCCAATAATTTATTATATTACATATTAGAATGGAGAATTTTTACAAATTTAAACATGTATTAATAAAAATTGTTTTCTTTTCAGGTAATGTAATTAATGATCATTTGAAATACATGCCGAATAAAAACAATGTGACAGAGTTTATTCTACTGGGGCTTACAGAGAATCCAAAGATGCAGAAAATCATATTTGTTGTGTTTTCTGTCATCTACATCACTACCATGATAGGAAATGTGCTCATTTTGGTCACCATCACTGCCAGCCCATCATTGGGGTCCCCCATGTACTTTTTCCTGGCCCATCTCTCCTTTATTGATGCCTGCTATTCCTCCGTCAATGCCCCTAAGCTGATCACAGATTCACTCTATGAAAAGAAGACCATCCTATTCAGTGGATGCATGACTCAAGTCTTTGGAGAACATTTTTTTGGAGGTGTTGAGGTTATCCTACTTACTGTAATGGCCTATGACCGATATGTGGCCATCTGCAAGCCCTTGCACTATACCACCATCATGAAGCAGTGTGTGTGTAGCCTGCTAGTCAGTGTGTCATGGGTAGGAGGCTTTCTTCATGCAACCATACAGATCCTCTTCATCTTCCAATTACCTTTCTGTGGTCCTAATGTCATAGATCACTTTATGTGTGATCTGAACCCTTTGCTCAATCTTGCCTGCACTAATACCCACTCTCTAGGACTGTTTGTTGCTGCCAACAGTGGGCTCATATGCCTGCTAAATTTTCTCTTGCTCCTGGTCTCCTATGTGATTATACTGTACTCCCTAAGGACCCACAGCTTGGAGGCAAGGCACAAAGCCCTCTCTACCTGTATCTCCCACATCACAGTTGTCATCTTAATCTTTGTGCCCTGCATATTTGTGTACATGAGACCTGCAGCTACTTTGCCTATTGATAAAGCAGTTGCTGTATTCTACACTATGATAACTCCAATGTTAAACCCCTTAATCTATACCCTGAGGAATGCTCAGATGAAAAATGCCATTAGGAAATTGTATAGTAGAAAAGCTATTTCAAGTGCCAAATCAATGTGACTGGAGCCCAACTGAGACAAGGGACAAAAGGATATTTTGGATAATGTCAGCAAGGAATACTTATGGATAAAGAAAATAATTAACCACTGTGATTCATAGATTATGCCTTGATGGGAGTCGAAATGGGGTTAAGAAAAGGGAGAAAACCTAACCAAGTATCATTCTCACAAATTGGAAAAATACTATCAATTTGGGGCTTAGTTTCACTAGCCTCATCCATGTGTATGAAACTTACAGGCCTTCCTTCTAATAACTGTGAAATAAGTAATAAAATAAATATATTGATATTAAGCAATAATGTCCATAACACTGAGGGAGGCATTACTCTTACCCCCATTTAACAAGTGAGGAAACTGGGAGAAGAGGACAGTATCAAAACAGAAGTATTAAATAGACAGCAACCAGAATCCCACCGATTTCCCAAACTGTATGCTTAACTACGATGGTACCCTGCCAGGCAATGATGAGAGAAAATCAGATCATTTTAACAGTTGTCACTTATTGGGACAGGGACTATGCTGGACACATTGTATATATTAGTTCATTAAAAATACAACATTTTTATTAATAATTCTTTTTTATATATCAAATTGATGGTCTTTGTTTTCTGAAACATTATCATAACTAACCACTTCAGGGCTATAAAAGCAAAGAACCATTTAGCGTCTGATGAGTAAACAGTGAAGTTTATACCATGATTCCAAATTTCTCTGTAGGCTTCAGAACCATTATGTATTACTCACATTACCTTTTTTATACTGATAATCCACCAGAAAGAGTGATGGTTCAAATAAAGAAGATGTTTTGATATCAAGGAGAAATTTCTATTTATTAAATATACAGTTATACTCCATAAAGTACTTACCGGCTAGATAACAATAGTTCCTACAAAATACCATGTCTGGCATAGCATAAACATTCAATCAATGAATTAAAGGATTAATGAAAATAAATAAATTCAATAAAATATAAAGCAAAAGTAGTGCCAGAAGCTAGGAAAGTTTTTTCTACCTTCAGTCCGAGAATCCTAGTTGGACCTTAGAAGACAGATATAATTGGAATAAAATTAATTTTAAAATATAGAAAATACATAAATACAAGGGTTGGTTCTTTATAAAAATTAATAAAACTCATATCCCTAGCAAAACCTCTGCTTTGAAAAACATAGCTTTCTATTTTTATCATTCAAAAATGTCTCTGCAAAAAAAATTAGTTCGACTGAATAAAGGAAATACATGCATCCTCCATATGCAAAGAGTCTTACAAATTAATTAGAAATCATTCAGCTACAAAATGGGCAAAGGACAAGAACTATTTCCAAAAGAAGAATGAATGGTCAATATACATATAAAAAACTTTCAACTTCATTAGTAACCATAGAAATGTAAATTTAAAATATTTTGTATGCCAGGCATGGTGGTTCATGCCTGTAATCCCAGCACTTTGGGAGGCCGAGGCGGGTGGATCACAAGGTCAAGATATCGAGACCATCCTGGTCAACAAGGTGAAACCCCGTCTCTACTAAAAATACAAAAAATTAGCTGGGCATGGTGGCACATGCCTGTAATCCCAGCTACTCAAGAGGCTGAGGCAGGAGAATTGCCTGAACCCAGGAGGCAGAGGCTGCGGTGAGCCAAGATCATGCCATTGCATTCCAGGCTGGGTAACAAGAGCGAAACTCCATCTCAAAAAATATAAAATAAAATAAAATATTTTGTACTAAGCAACTTTTAATTTTCATTGAAAAATAATAATTGTACATATGGGGTATACGGTGACATTTTGATGCATATAATGTATACTGATTAATTCAGGATAATTAGCATATCCATTACATTTATCATTTCTTTGGAAAAACACAACTTTCTAAACACACACACACACACACACACACACACACAAGCAAAACCTGAAGAACATATATGTGCTAAGTTAGTTCTTTAAAAATTTTCCCCTGACTTCTACCAAAAATATCAAAATTACATTCCATATGGTTTTATCAGTGAATTTTACATACCGCTTTTTAATACTACCAATTTTATGTCAACATTTTCAGGGATTAGAGAAAACTATAGTACTTCCTAATTAATTTATGTCCACAGTATAACCCTTTATAGAAAAATGAAAAAGGGCATTACAAAAAAAAATCAGATAAATATCTCTCATTAACATAGACACAAAATAATATTTAGCAAATAAAATATAGCCAAATATAAAAATAATAATGTATCATGAGCAAGTAACTCTTGTCCCAGCAATGAAATATTGGTTTAACATTCAAAATAAATTCATGGCCACCTGCTATAGCTCACACCTATAATCCCAGCACTTTGGGAGGCTGAGGTGGCCAGATCAGATGGAGTCCAAGACCAGATGGAGCAGAATCGAGACCCCCATCTATACCAAAAAAAATTTTTTTAATTAGCTGGGTGCGGTGGCATGCACAATAGTTCCAGCTACTTGGGAGGATGAGGTGGGTGGATCGCTTGAGCCCAGGAAGTCAAGGCTGCAGTGAGTGGTGATTGTGTCACTGCCCTTCAGCCTGGGCAACTGAGTGAGACCCTTGTCTCAAAAACAAAAATCAATTTATATATTACACTGCATGAACAATATTAAGTAGAAAAAAATATAATCAATTCAATAAATACAAAAAAACTTGATAAGATTTAACACACGTTCATTATTTTTTTAAAGTTTAAGAAAACTAGGAATAGAATTTCCTCTGTAGGATAAAGCACATTAACATACATCCTATTAAGCCAACACTGTACTTAATTGTACTTAATGAGGAAATACTCAAAACGTTCTCCGAGAGTCAGGAACGATGCAAAACTATCCATTATAACTCCATCTATTCCATACTGTACTGGAGAATCTAACCAGTGCAATAAGGCAAAGAAAAGAATTAAGTGGCATTTAAAAAAATAACTAAGAAAATTTAAAACTGTCATTATTTGCATACAATATTTTTGTATGTATAGCAAATCAAAATTTATAAACTATTAAAACTAATATGTTTATGAGATGCTACATAGTATTAAAAATTTACAATTAAAAAATATGCAACTACAAGATGACTGACTAGATTCAGCTGGGGTGCACCTCTTACACAGAGAGGAACCAAAATACCCAGCAGATATTCACCCTTTAAATAGATCGTCTGAGAAAGAGCACTGGAATGCAACAGAGAAGCAACAGAAGACACTGAGGGTGAAGGAAAGAGACATGGGGCTACCTACTTGGGGTTGCTAGGAGCCAAGAGCAGCCCCAGACCCAAAGAAGGGATAAGTAAAGAAACCCCAGAGAGTCCACATTTTTGCTGCATACTTTTACAATCCCAGCTACAGAAGAGTCCCTCAGCCCTGATAGGCCTCCAGACTGGCATAGAGAGCTGCCTAAAGATCAGGCACAGGTGCTTCTTAAACTTGCATGGAGTCTCACAGGCTTCCAAGCACTGGGCAGCTGCAGCACGGTGCCATTCTGGGAGCCCATTCCCCAAGGATCTCTGTTCTGCTCTGAGGCTGCCATTGCCACTGCTGGCTGCTGGGCAAGGTAGTGAGACAGGAGGCCAGGTGCTCTCATGTGCCTCAAGGAGAGGTTCCACTGCTGCTGCTGTGGAACTGAGGTCATTTGGGCCACATGCCCCTTGCCTGCCAGTCTCTCCCAAAGCTGCCGCCTAGCCATTCCTGTGGAAAGAGGACCACCCTTCCAAGCTGCAGGCCCACAGTGAAGCCACTGTTGCCCCACTTGAGTGTTCCTCCAATGGCCAGGGACCAGCTTGCCCTCCCTGTCACAGCCAGCACTTGAGTCCAGGGACTCTGAGGACAAGGCTGCTGGCTTGGTCCTATCCCTGCACAATTCAAGCATGCCACCCAGGGGCATGGAGATGAGATTTGTGATCTGATCTGATCTAGAGCCCCCACAGTCAGAGTCAGAGGAGAGTGTGGTGTGGGTTCCTACTGAGGCACAGGAGCTGGGTACTCCTCCCTTCATAGCACCAGACCAGGATGGGTGTGGCCTGAGAGCCAAGGTTTCTGCCCCTGACAGGAAGTTTCATGGCCTGGGGAGGCTTTGCCATCTGAACACAGCCAGCTTCTGGTGGCCTGATGCTGTAGGGAAACCCATGGGGTTGGAGGTTTGAGGGTGGGGCAGGTTCCACTGCCACTTCCAGCTGCTGATTCATGGCCACCCCTACCCCTAGCATGAAGGTGCTTTGCTGCAGCAGAAGTGCCTCTGCTCCTCCCTGGATGATCGCTACAGTGGCCTGAGAGCTGACCCCAAATCCTCAGCAGAATCAGTACTTACACCAGCCTTCGAGAGCCTGGTCAAGGACTTCCCAGACCCACCCATGCCTGGCTTTGCCCTGTCCAATCTGTGCAGCAGCAGAGCATGGGACAGGAAGCCCTGGGAGTGCCATGGCTCCACCCCTTACAAGGGGATAGCCAGGGCCTTCTATAATGAATAAAATCCAAGGAAAAATCCCGCTGCTCCCTCTCTCCTAGAAACACCACCTACTGGCTTGGAAGTCAACCTGCACTGCTGATTTTTTTTTTTTTTTTTTAAATAGTCTTTTATTTTTTTTTTATTTTTTATTTTTTTTTTTTTATTTTTTATTGGATTATAGGTTTTGGGGTACATGAGCAGAGCATGCAAGACAGTTGCGTAGGAACACACATGGCAGTGTGCTTTCTTTTCTTCTCCCCTTCACCCACATTTGGCATTTCTCCCCAGGCTATCCCTCCCCACCTCCCCCTCCCACTGGCCCTCCCCTTTTCCCCCCAATAGACCCCAGTGTTTAGTACTCCCCTTTCTGTGTCCATGTGTTCTCATTTTTCATCACCCACCTATGAGTGAGAATATGCGGTGTTTCATTTTCTGTTCTTGTGTCAGTTTGCTGAGGATGACGTTCTCCAGATTCATCCATGTCCCTACAAACGACAAAAACTCATCATTTCTGATTGCTGCATAATATTCCATGGTGTATATGTGCCACATTTTTCCAATCCAGTCTATTATTAATGGGCATTTGGGTTGATTCCAGGTCTTTGCTATTGTAAACAGTGCTGCAATGAACATTCGTGTACATGTGTCCTTATAGTAGAACGATTTATAGTCTTTTGGATATATACCCAGTAATGGGATTGCTGGGTCAAATGGAATTTCTATTTCTAAGGCCTTGAGGAATCGCCACACCGTCTTCCACAATGGTTGAACTAATTTACACTCCCACCAACAGTGTAAAAGTGTTCCTTTTTCTCCACATCCTCTCCAGCATCTGTTGTCTCCAGATTTTTTAATGATCGCCATTCTAACTGGCGTGAGATGGTATCTCAATGTGGTTTTGATCTGCATCTCTCTGATGATCAGTGACGATGAGCATTTTTTCATATGATTGTTGGCCTCATATATGTCTTCTTTCGTAAAGTATCTGTTCATATCCTTTGCCCACTTTTGAATGGGCTTGTTTGTTTTTTTCCTGTAAATCTGTTTGAGTTCTTTGTAAATTCTGGATATCAGCCCTTTGTCAGATGGGTAGACTGCAAAAATTTTTTCCCATTCTGTTGGTTGCCGATCCACTCTAGTGACTGTTTCTTTTGCCGTGCAGAAGCTGTGGAGTTTCATTAGGTCCCATTTGTCTATTTTGGCTTTTGTTACCAATGCTTTTGGTGTTTTGTTCATGAAGTCCTTGCCTACTCCTATGTCCTGGATAGTTTTGCCTAGATTTTCTTCTAGGGTTTTTATGGTGCCAGGTCTTATGTTTAAGTCTTTAATCCATCTGTAGTTAATTTTAGTGTGAGGTGTCAGGAAGGGGTCCAGTTTCTGCTTTCTGCACATGGCTAGCTGATTAAACTGCCCACACAACTGCACAGTGCTCAGCTGGCTGGTATCTGCAAGTGCCACCTACTGACCTAGAGGTAGAACTGCACAACCCAATACAATCCCTGCTGACAGAAGTGCATAGTGCTGGGGAATAAATAAGAGGCTTCCCCCTCCCCATCTCTGCAGGAGGCAGTGATCCTTCTCACATGCCCAGTCCACTGCCACTGTAACTTAAAAAAAATACTATTTGAGAAAACCCTTACACTAAGGCTATCATCAAAAAATTCAAAGATGTGGCCCCCTGAAAGCACCCAGAAGCAAAAAGGACCCTGCACAACATATGCTATAGTCACACCCTCAAGAAGGGAATAAATTTCCATCCAAATAAAAGTAAATCCAAACAGGAACCAGCATAAGAACTCTGCCACCATAGAAAAAAGAGTGTTGTGAAACATTCAAAGGATCACACTATCTCTCTAGCAATGGACACTGCTACCCATATCCCAGCTGCTCCATCTTCAGCCACAACTCAAAGGGACCCTGGCACAGCTGAGGTTGCCACTATAGAGGGCACAAGCCATAAGCTTTGGCAGCTTCCATGTGGTATTAACTCCACAGGTACACAGATTGCAAGAGTGAAGGTGGCTTGACAGTCTCTATCTATATTTCAGAAAATGTATAAGAAAGCCTAGATGCCCAGGCAGAAGCCTGCTGCAGAGGTGGAGCCCTTAGAGAGAACCTCTAATGAGGCCCCACACAGAGTGTCTGCTAGGGCACTGCCTAGTGGAGCCGTGGGAAGGGAGCTGCTGCCCTCCAGAAACCAGAATGGTTGAGCTTGCAACCTCAGCA